CCCCCACATTTGCCACCATCTACCATACAATTTCTATATTTTAACGCACTCCATGAAATACAATGATGCCCTTAGGGAATAGATAATAAGATAAAGACAGAACTCTCACCTGGCTTTTTGGTGCCTTAGTTATACATGCAAATTTCAATTTATCTTTCTGTTGTGCACTATGGAATTTTATACAACTCTGGGAAATGCATCATAGTAATTTTAAAGACATAAGAATATGCCTTTTGTTGTTGTTGTTGAGATTAGAGAAAGGAGATTATGAAAGAGAAGACAGAAAAAGAGAATGGTCAAGATATCTCTAGCATAGGTGTTCCTTAGGTAGAGCAGTTTTAGGAAAGAATAAATATGGAAGATGATGTTATAAATCTATCCACAACTATGTACTCTGTGGTGTGACTTACTATAACTCCAGTGATAAAGTCTGAAGACCACTGTGTTAAAGCATTAGATTATCTAGCAAAATATTTTAAAATGTTATCTGACTAGAGAATCCATGGCTATTGGTATCTAAACAAATGTCACTCTATTAGTTCTTGACTTTAACTGTCTACAATGCAGGGGAGAAAGACCAGAGGAAGGAAAAGGACCTGAAATGAAAGTGTATGGACTAAATTACAAATTTACTCTCTAGTCAGTCTTTTTCTTGGAAGACTAAAGCTAACTGATACTTCAAACATTTTTGACTAAGAAGTATAACTACATAACAAGCAAACAGCATAAAAGTATCACGTGTTGGAACTCTTGATTACTGTCCAGTAAAAATGGGCAGTACTTTTTATATATTCTGTGGACCATTTATAGATATTGTGTAATCTTTAGTCAGTAAGACTAGTTAGTATTTACTTTCAATTAAGATTTTGTTCCAGTTCTCTGTCTCTCTAAAAAAGAACTTATATCATTAGATGCATAAAAATAATTAATATGTGCCATTTTCTGCTTTGTGCTTTATTAGGCCAAGACTGAAATATGTGTTCTGGTACCTTTAATTTGAGAAATGATTACATATTAAATTAAGTGATCTAGATTGTTGCTCACTATAAACAATTTATATTTATACTGTATGTTAACCCAAATAAATTAAAAAGTGTCTAAAAGAGCAAATTCCCACTTTTCTATGCTACCACTTATTATTTTGTTTCAACTTTGAAAGAAAAAGTTACTTTCCACAATTTTGAAGGATTTTGCTATTTTCTATGCCAGTAAAAAGGAAGGGTGTTTATGTTTGGAATCATTCATTGAAAGGGACTGGCTTCTGCTCTGTTCACATTAATCTTACAATAGTTATTTCTTGCAGCCACCAAATACATAATATTAGCATAAAGCCATAACTTTGCTTTTCACTTTTGCCAATATTAAGGTTATACTGCCATCTGATTCATAGGCAGGTTTACAGGCATCCATCCTATTAAATATATTTTATATGCTAAAAGATGACTTATCATCATTTTATTAACTTTTATGTCACGTATATTCAGACACATGGGCATGTGGTCCAAACAGGCATTGTTTACTCTTACAGTAGCATGGGAGATAGAATTTGTATAAAATTTGCAACTATTTAGAAATTGGCTGTAGGAGTAAAACATAATCTTGAAAAGAGAGGAAAGATGTGGTCGAGGATAAGAATTTAAGTATTTGTGCCCTTTGGGGATAAAAAGTTGATATACGATTGAATTTGATGATAAACTAATCTATATTGAGAATGGACCTAAATATACTTATTTTATGCACTTAATAAAGACAGTTAGAAACTCATTTAGGAGAGGTCTTCTGAAATCTGAGTGTCTTAGCCTTTCCTAAAGCTGTGAGGTTGTTTTGTTTCCTTTCACATTTACACTTCAATAATAACAAAAGTATGATAGTAAATTACTCTTCTGAGTAATAACACTACTGTTATTAAATGCAGTAGTTATACTGGGGGTTTTCATAAAGAGGTTCTAATTATTAAATATCAATATTTTAAGTAAGTTGAAAGATATATCACAGAGTCAGGAGATCTCCTTGATGTAAACTATGCTGACTTCTTTTCCTCACTTGAGGAGACAAATGAAAATATATGAAGGAATTAATTCATTTTCCTAACTTAATAACATGTATCTGGTGTCCACCAGGCACTCTTCTAGATCCTGGAAAGAAAGAGAAAAAGGAAGAAAATGAGTGAAAGAGGTAGCTATGGGTAAAGTTATGCAGAGTATTACAAGCCCTGGAAAGGACTTCACATTTGGAAAGAGATCATAGAAAGATCTTACATTGTAAGCAACTAAGGCAATCCCCAAATACAAACTACAAAATAAAATGCAGTATCTTCTATAAAATAATTTTCACTTAATGTCCTACTCATTCACATGATGTTGGATGGATTTTGTAGATTTAGGTCCATAGCTATTTACAGATCCATAGCTATTCAGTATGTGGAGATACAAGATACAAGTAGAGCAGAATATTTAAAGAAAGGTCAACTAAAAATTAATTTGGCAAAAACCGGTATGACTTTGTAAAAATTAATCAGTTGTTTTTAACAGACTCAACTAAGCAGAAAACTATAATACAACTGAAAGAACTTCAGGCTAAAAAGTGAGGTAGAAGATAAGTTCCAAGAGGAAAGGGAGCCGTTCCAAAACACCTGCCCAACCTTTTGAAAATTACCACTAGATTTAGAGAGAATGATCAAATGGGATTAAGTGTATGTAAATACGATTCATCTTCAATTAAGAAATGGCAACTTACTTTGCTGAGTAAACTGTTGCTTTAAAAATGCCAAAACGTCTTAAGTAATAAATGTTTGAAAATAGATGCACTTTGGAAACAATTAAAATGTAAATTTGATATAAAATTAATGGAGAGTTAGGGGATGTTGAATGCAATACCAGAATGCGAGTGATAAATAGCAAATCTATTGCCCCCACAGCTACCATCACTGAAATGATTTCACTCAATAAAAAAGTGAAAGAATAATTAACATCAACATTGTATTTTGTTTCTAGACTACAACATGTAACTGCTATTTTTATAGCAAATCTAACTATAACATATATAAATTGTTTAGAAAAAATGACTTCCTGTTCTACACTTTGAAAAATTAGAATGAAACATATTGATGACCTAATTCATGGTAGACACATGGGCCCCAAAAATATCAGATTTGGGAAACACCTCAAGGATTCATGAACCAGTTTGCTATCTGTAGTACCTGGTACTATTACATGATTGTATCTCAATAATTAACTCAGATTACATATTAACCCAATGAAATTTGAGAATATACTTTACATGAAGACTATGCTAGACTAAAATCTCTAACTACCATTTATTCATAACTTTTTTTTAGCAGAACATTGTTTGAAGTCAAATTAATTGCCCCCCTATGATAATTAGTTTTTCTCAGATGTCTTCTGGAAGGAATTTCCTTATTTTCTATATTCCATTCTCATCCCAATTTGCTGCTTTTATCCACTTTGTTTAGTCTACTGAACACCCAAATCTTTTAGAAGACAACTGCAAGCAGGTAAGAACAGTCAACATTTATTAAGAAACCTAATGTGTGCTAATATGTCATCCTAAATATATTGCCCCAAATTCTTATTAAATCCACGTGGCTATAATGTGAGTTGTAGTACTGTCTTTGTCTCCATTTAGCACAGGAGAAAACTGAGGGGAGGAGGACAGATAACTTGCTGATGGTCAGGAAAACCAGCGAGGGTTTGGCACCAGGATACAAACAGAGGTATTCTGAACGCAGGTAGTCTGTACTCCAGAGCCAAAGCTTCTGGTTGCCATTCTAAACTGCCTCTCAGGGCAACAAGGCAGGGAGACAGGCTGGTGTGTGTGTGAATCGCCATCATGCTAGTGCAGAGGTTACTCTCAGTAAGCACATACACTGTATGTGAGTAAGGAACTAATTGCTTTGAATGTATTAGCTAAGTCGTAAACTCATTACGATAAAATTATATTAAATTAATGGATCATAAAAATAAAATGAGTGTTGTCATAAAAAACTGTGTATATTTAATTTGGGTCAAGGATATCAGGGATTTTATTTCTACACATGGAGATTAAGAAATGAAGATTAAATGATTAGAATAGGTAAACTTAATGAATGAAGACTGGGCTTGAGTTTCTTACTGTTTAGGTAGTTTGTTACCTAAATAATGAATATTTGGACCCTCAGCTATTAGAGACAATGGTTTCTTAGTGATTTCCAGTGCTCTTTCACAAATCCACGATTAAGGGTTACTACATTTCTTTTTCTTTCTTTTTTTTTTCTTTTTTAAGACCTCAAGCATGCTAAGCATGCACCCTACCACTGAGCTATAGCCACCCGCCCAGGGTTAATACATTTTTGGGTTTTGAAAAATCTCTTTCAAAGTATTCTGTAGAAAACAAGAAAGAACATCTTCACAAAATTAATACCATTGAGGAATCCAAAACAGAAGTAATTACATGTTTAATGTTTAACTTAGTTCCAACTGAAGTACTTCTTATCACACAGCTGGGTGCTATTAAGAAAGAGCTCTTATATCTGAGCCCATTCACTCCCTGGTATACAACTTTAATTCTATTATATTTAAACACCAGTTGTGCAATGGTTTTGAAGAATGTTGGGTGTGAAGAACTATTCTACTATTAAATCTCATCCCATAAGACTGTAATACTTATTTCAGGAATAGTAAAATGTATCAAAGGACCAGAAGCCTGCGTGGAAGCCATTTAGTCAGATTCATCCCTTTCATATATAACCATGTTTACTTCACAGCAAAAGACCAAGTGATATATTGAGGGCTAATATAATTATCATCATAACACAAAATTATGTGGCATGATTTTTATTTTTATTATATTATTATAATTTTGAGTATTCAAATCTCTCTAGGAAAATCAACCGTTTTTGATATTCTCATTGTTCCACATAAAATTTTTATGCTCTGTCTTATTTTAATGTGGTACAAATTATAGCACAAAAGGGCAGTAAAAAAATTGTATTGAGGAGTAGGTTCAACTACAAATGTAAATGTGAAATTTTCAGAAAATTAAAGCATACTAATGTTAACATTAGCAAATACAAGAATGTTAATCAAGATAATGGGATTTCTTATAAACACCAGAAAGTTGATGTATTCACTTTAAGTGACACATTTCATCACATTATCTTTGCCATTCTTTCTCTGTAGGTAGATGTATACAGGAAACCAAATCATAAACTGAAGGTTGATGGATGGTCCTTGAATTACAATAAGGAGAGCTGGAAGCAGCAAACCTTTAAAGACTTGGTCTGTCTCAGTCTGATACCCCGTTTTCCAAGGAGGTCTCTCTTGCCTGCGGGACTGGCAGATGAGAACTATGTCAACTAAAGCACACTCTCTTGGGTATTACCACTAGACTTTGCCACTACAGAGGGTTTTTTTTTAAGATTCATATCACTACTCCCTTTCTGATCAACGCATTTTTCATTAAATCTAATGAGTAATATCAGGGCTGTTTGCCTCATTGCCCAACAAGTGGTTTGTTCTCTCGCATCTACAACTTGAATTTCAAGTATATCTCCGTTGGCTCCAGAACACATCTTAAGGAAACCCTTCTTATCCTTCTTGGATTACCACATCTATCTGAAAACTGGCACTTTTCTACAACTGCACCCTGTGGAATCATTTGCTCTTCTTGCATAGCTAAAGGTTTCTGCTTTTACTTCTAAGGACATTAAGTATCCCCTGGAGGGAGGATACAGGATGTTCAGGATCCATTGACACCAGAAGTTCTTGCATCCCTGAGGGCTTTAAATTTACTTCTGAATACTCCCATTGACGTCTTTGGAATCCCAATAGCTATCAATAAAATAAAAAGAAAACCCCCTCTCTGCCCAGCCACTGGCATATAAGGAAGAAATAGAAGGAATGCCGATCACTCTTTAAACAGATTAATAGTTATATCTGCTATTCTCCTTAACATAGGTATCATCAATATAGACATCATATTAGGTTAGGGGTTAGATTATCCAGAATAAGGTCTTTCCTACCTCTGTCAGTAGTTAATTGTGTAACATTGGGCACATTATTTAATCCATTTGTAAATGGGGTTACACAGTTATCTGAAGTTTTTAATGCTGTGCTTATGGCATTAACATAATCCTATCAGTATTTATGGCTAATTAAAGCAGTGATTCTGTTTGCTTTGTTTTTTGTTTGATTTTTTTTTCTCCCCTTCCAGCCTTCCTGAGATATAATTAACACACAACACTGGATGCTTTTAAGGTGTACAGCATAATGATTTAACATACATACATCGTGAAATGACTACCTCAGTAAGTTTAGTAAACATCTGTCATCTCAAATAGACATAAAATTAAAGAAATAGAAAACAATGTTTCTCCTTGTGATCAGCACCCTTAGGATTTACACTCTTAACAACTTTCATATATAACATACGGCAGTGTCAATTATATTTATCATGTTGTACATTATATTCTAGTAATTATTTATCATATAACTGAAAGTTTGTACCTTCTTATCATCTTCATCCAATTCCCTCTCTCTCCAATCTTCTTGCCACTGGTGAACACAAATCTGGTATCTTTTTCTATGGGTTTGTTTGTTTTTGAAATACAATTGACCTACAACACTATGTGAGTTCCTGGTACACAGCATAGTGATTTAGTATTTCTGTATACTCCAAAATGATCACCATAATAAGACTAGTACTACTGTCACCATACAAAGATATTACATAATTGTTGACTATATTCCCCACACTGTACATTTCATATCTGTGACTCACTTATTCTGTAAGTTAAAGTTTTTACCACTTAATCTCCCTCACTTACTTCTCTCTTCCTACTCCACCTCCCCTCTGTTAGCATAATACCCTCTGGGTCCATCCATGTTGTCACAAATGACAAGATTTCATTCTTTTTAATGGTTGAGCAATATTCCAAAGTGTGTGTGTGTGTGTGTGTGTGTGTGTGTGTGTGTGTGTGTTTGTGTGTGTGTCTATCACATCTTCTTTATCCACTGTTGGGCACTTAGAGTGCTTCTACATCTTGGGTAATGTAAAAATTCTGCAATGAACATAGGGGTGCATATATCTATTCTAATTAGTATTTTACTTTTCTTTAGATAAATACCCAGGAGTGGAATTGCTGGAGAATACAGTAGCTCTACTTTTAACTTTTGAAGACTCTCCATACTGTTTTCCATAGTGGCTGCAAAAATTCACATTCTCACCAACAGTGCAT